TGTGTGCCAAAGCCATTGGCGGACCTGCACTATTATTTCTATGGGCAAGTGCAAACAGTAACTATTTTTTTTTTGTTCTATTAAAAAGTTATAGCTGACTTAGTTTAGATTTACTAAGTTATTATTTATTTTTTGTCTTAACGGTTGGTGTTGTAGTCATGTACTCAAAAGTCATTTTTTTTTTATTTAACTTTTTGCAAGTGCAAAATAAGACTATTTATTGTATACCCTTCCATTGATTTTTTTCATGGCGAGAGCTTTCAAAAAAAAAATTGGGAAGCTCTGCCCTTGAATCCCCACCTGTGCAGACATAAGTAAAAAATTTTGGATCCATCACCGGCCAAAAGCTACAGCGAAAATTAGCCCTAGAGGAGAGTCAATTCTCTGTTTCAAAAGATTTATTTACAGATCAATGTTTCTCAAATTGACGTTGCCATAATCTCTCACTTGCATGGAAGAGCACTTTACACGACCATTGAAGGATTCAAGTTCAATGCGCGAGGAAGTGGCAAACGGGTGTAAGGATGTTCAAAGAGCCTTAAATTGATCGCATTTCTTTCTAAACGCTCATTCACAATGATTTTTTAGTTTTACATTTTTTTTTTTCCTATTAACTTAGTTTAAACTCGACTCGAGCCCACATGACCACATATCTAACAAGATTGTGTGTATCTTTGACCTAATTTAAGGATTAAAGCTCACTAGTTTTTTTTTTCTATAGCCTATGCTCCTAAAGGTGTCCTAGGTATAAGGTTTAAGTTTTAACACGATTAGCAATAAAAGGTGATATGTGAGATGGTTGAAATTGGAGACATTGACTGCCTATTTAACCAATTATATGGCACATATTGAGTGGTACAACGCAAGAAAATACTCTTATTATCTTATATCAAGTGTATCTAAACAAGTCGAGTTCCTAGCATCACATTTCAGTTACAGTGACTAACCAATGATCGAATACATTTCCGTTAATCTCTTTAATTTATGTGCTAAACTTCAGTGTGGTTGGGTTAATTAGGATTCGTTACTGCATCTCATCTCTTACGAAAGTCAATTTTGGCATGAGATTGTTGATTAAGTATATCCGGTCTAAGATAATGCTTTTACATTGTATATAATTAAATATGTGTCACTTCAATGTTGTGGTGAGATATTATTTTCTTTTATTAATTATTGTAAAGAAACATTTCAACTAAAAATTTAAATTTATACATAATGGGCCTTCAAATGATTTTATATTACGCTCAGCGCATGTTATCTTAATTCCAATAGAAAGTGATGCTGATGAAGATCAAACTCAATAGCTTAAGTTTATAAGTGATGAGCTTTCAAATAATTTTATATCACCTCTTTAACAACTATTTACTTAATAATTCATATAATTAATAGGAACACATTTTTTCTTAGTTAACCCAACTCTAATTATTTGTTTGAGGCGAGTTGGCTCTCCCGATATTCCCACAAGCTTCGACTCTCTGAGCCGGCTATGATACTAATTTGGAGTGCAGAACGAGTCAGGATGAAAATATTTAAACCCTTCCCAAAGATAATATGAGAGAATTGACTGAAACCATTTCCTTTCCACTACACAATTAACAGTATGTACAATGCAAAGTATATAAAAGTATTGTCTTATTGAGATTTCCCCCCCTTTTTTTTGTTTTCTAAGTTGTTAACACTTAATTAAAGAAACACGAAGGAGATTACAAAAAGACACAGAATATTTGATTTTCACAGCTCGTGGCTAACTGTGTTTTTATTTTCATTCCTGATCATGAGAATGGAAAAGAACAAAGTTACATATACGTAATTGTTGGCATGGAGAAGCATAGAAAGTCGGAGTTTAGATGTAACGGGTAGAAACTTAAGAAAGGAAGCAAAACAGTTGTTTAGCTGACATTACAAGTTTCATTACTTGTAAGGAGGAAAATCACACTGTCACTGTTAACGGTGACATCAGTAACGTTGTATTGCCCTAGAGGTTAAACCTGCTTCCATTTTTATATGGTCGAGATTGCGAAGCTCGTCTACCCGACAGCGAAATTGAGTTGAACAAGCAATTAATCACCTCCGTTGAACGCAACGCAATAGCAATTTGTCTCCCCTTACCCTCTTCTCTTGGGTACAAAGTAGACTAATTAAAGTGTATACAACACATGCAAATTAAGGAAATTATAAAAGAGATAAATTTATCTCCTCTGTATACATCCAAGTGGGTACGTAGCGTCGTACAAGGAGAAGAGAAAGAAAAAAAAAAAAAAAAAAAAGAGTGCCGCTCCATTGACTTGCATGTGTATATGCATTAAATAAAATTATTTCCTGTTTGCATAAGAAATGTTGAGATATATAGTCTCACATTAATTGTATGTGAATGTGGAGTTTATAAGGTCTTGGGCACTCTCACCCTTAGAGCTAGCTTTTGGAGCGGTGTATCCCAAGGTTCTTTACATGGTATCAGAGCCTCGCGCCGCCCCCCTTAACACAGGTAGGCTGGACCTGTTGCATTGTCCACTCTTCAAGCCCAATGAGCTCTTGTATGAGGGGGCGTGTTGAGATATATAGTTTCACATTAAGGGTGTGTTTGGTACAGGAGAAATTTTTTGGTGACCGGGAATCATGATTAATGGGAATTCAGTAGAAATTGAGTTTACTTGGAATCTTACGAAAGATGTGTTTGGTTCGCCAAAATATTACCGGGAATATTGGGTAAAAATTATTGATTCCATATTTGGTTTAGAACGAAATATGACTTGGAATATGAGGTTATTTTACAAAAATAACCCCAAACTATTTTTACTTTTGTAATTGATAGATTGGGTCTAGATTTTTATCTGTATTGGGGTATTTTTGTCTCAAAATTTATTATTATGTTTTCCCTTTACTTGGTATTCTGATTGGTATTCCGAATTACCATATTATTTTTGGTAATCTGAATAGTGACTTTTCTTTATAAATCAAATTACCGGTAATCCTTGGATATCCGGGAATCGTAATTTATTCCTTCTACCAAACGTGGTAATTACATTTACCAAAGAAGGATTACCGGTAATCCTCTCCAAAAACTCGAACCAAACACCCCCTAATTGTATGTGCAATTAATGTGGAGTTTATAAGGACTTGAACACTCACACCCTTAGAGCTAGCTTTTAGGTCGGTGTATTCCAAGATTCTTTACAAAAAAAACATTAAACCCAATTATAAATGCTAATACATTATTATAAAAAATGTTTTATAAATATTTTTAAGAGAATTTGTAGAGTTATTACAACCTACAAAGTAATGTTTATTTTAAAATTGAATTTATGTGCATTACTACTGTAAAAAACTTTTACACTGTGATAATAATGTATTCTCATTTTATTTAATGAATTACAAAACCCATTAAATGATGTAGTAATACATAATTAGATAACAGTGTAAAACTTTTTTATATTGATAGTGCATTAAAATTAAACTCTTTATTTTATATGTACATAATTTTAATAACAATAATATATCAGGGTCGTTATAATGAAAGGAGGATAGCTTTCTCACTAGATACATCCGTTTTGGCCTAGCCTATTTCTTGTTATAAATATAATTATCAGTCTATAATCTAATTTATTTATAAAAAATAAAAGTCTGTTAAAAAAATAAGTCAACAAAAATTTATCTAAACAAAATATATGATCAACAACACTGATTATTCCACAAAGATTTATAAATTCAATGTATATTCAAACAGCATAATATAGAACAAAATTATTCAAAATGTATTAACCAATAAAATAGAGTGAAATGGATCGAGGAGAGAGAAGACTATTATGAGTAGTGTAAAAAATATAAAATAAAAATAAAAGTTAGTATACTAAGTCAGCCTAAGAGTCTCTAAGGCCGGATTTTTGAATTGGAGCCTGAGACTTTTTTATTAAACGAATTTTTATATAAGTTCAAACCTGAATTTAACAATCAATTTTAAAAATGTAAGTCTAGACCTTCACGAGCCGGGTCAAAGGCCCCTAATTCGTTTAATACCCCTAAATCCTTCGCCATAAATCCTTTTCTTTTCTTTTTTTTTTTTTAAATTTCGGTCAAACGGTATCTGCCTATCTCTGGATCAATTTGTACGTATATATATGCATCTTAAGTAATTCGATCACTTCCACAATCATCAACCTAAAATTAAGAGATTCTTAATAATATTACCCACGGTTATTAAAAAAAAAAAAAAAAAACAGTCTCATAGCATTTTTTTGTACCATTAAATTTTTTGTGAATATCTACATATAAGAACTTTTTTTTTTAACGTAGATTCATACGTAATCTAACATCTCGATATATAAGCATATTATTACACAAACACACTATCATTAATTGCATGCTTTAGGAATCAAGGTAAAGTCTGCTCTGCCTCGTATGAACAAAAGACAAATACAAAGAAAAAACGCGGAAGTCATGCATTAAAGAACCCATTAATGGCTTCCAATATATAAGAAAGGAAAGTAATTAAAGTCTTAAAAGAGGGTTAGAAATTTGGAAAGTTTGCCGCACCAACTTCTCGTCTAACAAGCTCTACCGATGGTCACAATTCCTCATTTTTCTTTTACGGCAAAATCATCAAGATTCTTGTACGTGACATCATTCACTTCGTTTTGTTGCTGTTTGTTGAAAATAAAGCAGCAAATTTAAGTGTAATATATCTATGGTTCCCTCAACTCCCTATTACAGCATTTCAACTTTGACAAAGGTTTATAAATCATTTCGAATAAGAAAATGTACGGTTGTTTAAGCTAACACGTCAGTTTCAACTTCTATTGTGACTTGTTGTGGGGCTCGAACATCACATATTTACCTTATAAATAGATAGCTATGATTTTAGGTTGGATGTGTGGGAAGCATCAATTCCAATAATCCCTTTAGGATAATTGAATTGGAAGGTAGTGACACAGCTTCCTTCTTTTGAAGAAAAAGAGAGTAAGAGTAAGAAAGAAAATAACTATTATACCATAAATTAGAAAATTATGGGAAGATCTCCATGCTGTGATGAAATTGGCTTGAAGAAAGGGCCTTGGACCCCTGAAGAAGATCAGAAGCTTGTTAACTACATTGAAAAACATGGTCATGCTAGCTGGAGGGCTCTTCCAAAACTTGCAGGTACATAATATAGATTTTTATTAATTATATGTCAAAAAAAATCATCAATATTTTTCCTCTTTGACATAATGGGGTTGTTCATAATTGTATTTTGTAACAGGACTCAACAGGTGTGGCAAAAGTTGCAGGTTAAGATGGACGAACTACCTGAGGCCTGACATCAAAAGAGGGAAGTTTTCCCAAGAAGAAGAACAAACAATTCTGAATCTCCATGGCATACTTGGAAACAAGTAAATTTTCAACACCACTAAACTTTTTTGCATTATAAAATAGCTGAAAAAGTAAACTATATTATAATTCAATTATTGTGAAGCTTATACTTTCAAAATTTTCTCATTTTGGCTAGATGGTCAACAATTGCAAGCCACTTACCGGGTAGGACAGATAATGAAATCAAGAATTTTTGGAATACCCATCTAAAGAAGAAGCTGATTCAAATGGGTTATGATCCAATGACACACCAACCTCGAACTGATATGTTCTCAGGCTTGTCTCATCTCATAGCACTGGCTAATCTGAAAGAAATCTTGGACCATCATCAACCATGGGAACAAAATGCTGCAAGACTACAAGCAGAGGCCATCCAGTTAGCAAGGCTTCAATACTTACAACAACACCACCTCATGCAGCCACAAGTTTCAACCGAGGCTGAGCCTAACACAAATAGTATGAACAGTACCTTCACAAACATGGACACCATTAATCTTTCTAATGATAAGTTTCAAAACACCATCTCATCTATTGGAATCAACGGTCTGCAATTCCTCAATGATTCCATCCCTTTCTCTCACATGCCTGACTTAAAAACAACACCATTAAATGACATGGTCCAAACCCCTCATGAATCCATAGCTTTCTATCAAGGAGAAAGTTCTCCTAATTCTCCATGGCTTCTTTCATGCTCAAGCACTAATACTTCATCTCCTTCCGATGTGGTTCCACCTGTGACGGATATTTCATTGAATAATATGGTCGATAATAATTGCCCTGCTTCTACTATTTGGCCTGAACTCATGCTAGAGGACCCTTTGTTCAATGTGATTCCCTAGTTTGAGATAATTAATTTGTGTAACATGATAGGAATAGTGTTATATTATCTAGTACTAGTCTTACAACATTTTCTCCTACATAATGTGCCTGTGTTCTTGTGTATACAATGTAGTTCAATGTTTTGAGTACAGTATACTCTTCGTTTTCTTTGTATTTTGTATTTATTTTTTTTCATGTGTGCATGAAATTGGCTCTGGTGGCTTTGTCTTTAAGGTGTCTTTTCAATATGATTTTTGGAGAGAAGGAACGAAGTGGCCACTTCATGCTACGCAAAAACAAAAATAAAATTCTACTGATGGGGACGACCTTCTATCAAATTAAAAATTATCTATACCTATCTGCATGTTTTCTTATGCACACTTAACCGTTATTACAATTTAAATGTATAATCTCCTCTTAAAATTCTTAAATATTTCAATCACTTTAAGGTACAGCTAACTAACAATAAGAAACTATTAGAAAATTCAGCGTGTATTATCATTTTTTCTTACTACCTCTTATTATCAAATTTGTTACCACTGAATCAAAATCAAATCAATAGCTCTCACTTGATGTTACTTTGTAATCGTTGATTTGATTTTGATCCAACGATAACAAAGTTGATAGTTAGAAAGAAGTGGTAAGAAAAAATGATAGTAAGTATAATATATCCCATTTATTTATTGTATATCAGCTTTAATTTCCTGCCTAACTTTGATAGTTGAGGGTAATATCTTAAACAAGAATATGTTTAAGGCGACGTAAGAGGATTTCGAATAATGGGAGAGGGACCCGGTTGTTAGGATTCTCAACTGCACCAACGTCAAAGTTGCTTGATGGTGTAACTTAAGTTGTGAGAAGTGATTCGAGCTCATCAAATTAATTTCTTACCCTCTTAAATTCAATTTAAATATAGATTATATTACAATATTCATAGTATTAATATAATTTTTTTTAACGTAATATTGGTGTCTGAAACTTGAAAATTTGAACATTAAGAATAAAGCATCATTTCAGTTTTTTTGACCAAGAAGGTGCTATAATTGTCAAGGTGATTAACTTTTAATTTCATTTAAAATAAAGGCAAATTTTTTTAATAGGTTGTGCTAATTGACTTCTTTTCAATGTGATTAATTAATAAATATTTACGTAAAGTAATCTGTACAATAATAACACGGTTTCAACCAATAGAAACGTGGACTATAATGCATTAATGCTATATTTCCTAGTGAGCAGGTGGATTATGCTATTCCTTTTCAAACAAGGGATTGACATTACTTTTCTTATTAATGACCCCCCAATCATATTAATCAAACTCATTGGATCATGTATCAATGGTGACAGGAGCAGTGGTCGTATTCAAGTGATTAAGTTATAACAACTATAATAAAAACAATATAATTTGAACAGTACTGTACTAATGGACATAAGAAAAAATTACAAATGCAGAATTCTTCAATAACACGTTAATCATGCAGAAAAGCTTTAAGCTAACACTACACAAGTCTAAAAGTAAATTTAATTGTGCAAAAACAATTGTCAATTTATATATGTATGTGTGTATTGCTAGTAATGTAACTTACTGTAATTCAAAAAAAAAAAAAAAAAGTAATGTAACTTACTTAAAAAAATATTACTCTATTATTGAAAGTCAAAATATAGGGCATGCTCGCCAAAGTAACAGGAAAAAATCATCGCTAAACAGGATGTTAATTAAATCATAAATTTTGCTTTTTGGTTAATATTATAGCTTTCATTCAATTTGCATTGGGTGCAACATTTCATTTCAATTATTTTTGGTCTGAGTTACTGTTTCCATGCTACATTTTCGGTAACCTTGTAATATAATAATATTTAACTTCTTTCGAAAAGCACCGGATAACATTAACATATATATACCGGGTTTACTCTTTTGAATATTGATATTTAAAGTATATAAGTTGTCATTAATATTTAACGATTCAAATTAAATACGGTATTTATATAGAGCTCGACTAAAGATTAATCTTATAACTAACTCAAAAAATTAAAATTTGTGAGAATATCTGAGGCGGATTTTATCGTCGATATAAAAAAAATTATAGATAGGTATTGTAGCTCCCACAAAGAACTGCGTGACTGTGTGTAGTAGGGTTTTTTTATTATTATTCATATTCATTGTATTTTTTTATTTTATTTTTTCGAAACTCTTCATTGCATGTGTTTCACTCAATGTTATTAAAACCGGCCCGGTCATTGATCCGGTTGAGGTACCAAGTCACTGATTTAACTAGTGGGTCACTGGTTCAACCGCATGATCCGGTAATTATATGCAATTTTATAATTTAATTAAAAAATTATAAACATACTTAAATATCTAAAAAAAATTAATAAAAATTTCAAATGTTTTAATACAAAAAATAATAAATCACATATTATTATCAAATAAAAAATCAAACATAAATATAATGATCGTGATACGAGACTTTAGGTTCATAAAACGACATTTCTAACTATAAATTAATTCAAACGTTTATGTATAGTACATAATTGAGATAATATTAATGTTGTAGGTACATAACTTATGTAAGTCAATAAGCAAAAAAAAAAATCAAATATGACTATTACGTTTTTTTTTTTAAAATAAAAATTTGGAATACTTTTTTTTTGGACCGAGCCGGGTCACCGATTAACCGATCGAGTCACCGATTTTTATGAAAATCGACCGAGTCGGACTGGGTCGCACCGATTCTGATGCATGACCGGTCCGTTACTTCAACCGGACCGGTTATATTGTTGGGTTTGCTCTTTTACTAAAGCCCAAATGGGTTATTAGTATGAGAAGAGCCCAAGGAACCTAGAGCCCAATGAGCTAGGGTTTCTTGGAACCCATATAAATAGTACCTCTTAAGTCATCAGCCTCAAAGGTCTTTTTTGTGAGAAAGAGGCAAGCTCTGAATCTAATCAGTGCCCACACACTTCCCCTTCCTCCTCGAGAGATAGTTTGGAAGATCTGCCACAGTCCAGCTTCAAGGAGGTTGTTCGTGCTGCGACGCTGAGGTGAGCTGTTCGTGAAGAGGAATCCTACAAGGGAAGATTCTACACGAGACCTGCGCACCGAGAGGTAATTGTGAAACAAGGATGATTCGGTAAGCATACCAATGTACTAGGTCCTAAACCGCTTCCGCATAAATCTAAGATTTCCTTCAATTGGTATCAGAGCGCCGGCTGTACATTGGTATGTGAATCTAGTTTCACTATTCATGTAATTAGTTTTGCTTCTTGAAATGTGGCACCTAGGGTTCTAGGATTATGGTATGAATCTAGCATGTGTATTTTATAATTCATTTTCATAAAAGATTAAATTTTAATCGGTAAAAATGCTTTAATCCATGGTTAAGGTCTCTCGTGTATTTCTCGATTTGTAACAAGGAGGCTAATCCCATATGATTAGGTTTCCTCCTTGCTGTTTTTGTTTATTTTTGGAATTTCTGTGTATTTTTCAAATATTTTGTAAAAGTTCAAGATCGAGAAACCGCGAGTAAGATGCGCAGTCAGAACTTTCGGAGACTTTTCGAGGTCTTCCCGATCTCGGAATTAGGCGATCTATATATGGTTGGAAAGAGGACGGAAAGACGAACGCAACGGTGGGTGGCGTACCGCCATCTGAGTTTACACGCGCCCCCACGCGCCTCCACAATATTCTGAGAGTGGCCGCCACTCTCCGGCAAAGAATGGGAGAGTGAGGGAGCGTCCGGCCACCTTTTTGGGTGATTCCGGCGGCGGTGCACTCGTCTATACGTGGCGGTCCTTCCCCTGGAGTTTCAGCTTGATTTGACTTCGGGTGACGGCGCGGCAGACCTGACGGCTAGGGTTTCTCTTTCGCGTCGTAGGGTTTCTCGCCAAAGGATTGGGTCTTTGGGCTTTTGGGCCCATGAAACCCTAAAGGGGCTTGAGACAGATACTATGGGCTAGGCGAAAGTCGAATTCCAAAGTTGTATTATTTTATTTTATTTTATTTTCTTTAAAATAGGAAGGCCATGGATTAAAGTAATTAGATTTTATTATTTAATGCTTTTATTGATTGGTATAAATTATATGATTGATAACATGCGTTATTGCGATAACATGCCATATAGAATAGGTGGTGCCATATTGTTGCATAACTTGTATGATTGCATGAGCATAATAGCTATTATGTCTTCAGCGACTAGTATGATAGTTATTATGGGATTATTTTGATTTTAAATCATCCTAAGAAATTAATTAATAATTATTATGATTTTTATTAAAAATCTAGATTAATAATTGAATTAATTAATTTTGGATAATTAACATCAAGACAAATAATCGTTATGGAAATTATTTTGATTTCAAATTATCCTCATAAATGATAATTATTATGATTGTTGCAATCTACATTAATAATTAAGTCAGCTATTTGGATGATTTAAATCTAGAAAAATAATTAGAGAAAATTTCCTAAGAGAATTCTTTTATTTTGCGAGTAATTTGTGGGTTTTCTGAAATGGTCATGGAATAACACACGCTGCATACAACATTCATGTATCATGATTGTTTGGAGCACACGCTGACGTAAAGTGACCGGATTTCAGGACCTTAATGCTTTCAAAATTATGTTAAGCTTAGTGCACGTTTATCGGCGCTCTTACTTATATAGTTTTTGAAATCAAACAAAGGATACTCTCAATTAAATAATTCTTGGAAATTAGAAAATGTTGCTTATGTTGAATGGAAGGAGATTTAAATTAAGAGATTAATTCAACCTTCAAGCGCATTATAGGACCATTAATAAAATAATCATGTGAAGTCCCATCGAATAAGCATGATTGGATTTTATTAGATTGGACTTAAATATCTATGGGAGGAGATTTAAATTAAGAAATTAATTTAACCTCCAGGCGCATTGTGGGCCTATCAATAAAATAATCATGTGAGGCCCCATCGGATTAGCATAATTGGATTTTATTGGGCCTTAATAATTTCAAAATTTTAATAAAGTATTGTACGGCCCATCGTC